CTCAGCAGGGAGTCTGCTTCTCCCTCTGACCCTCTTCCCTCTCGTGCTATCTCTCTCTCATTCTCTCTCTCTCTCAAATAAATAAATAAAATCTTTTTTAAAAAAAAGCATTTTTATATTATTTTTTAACCATTGTCCACCTTTGTTTAATCTTTGATATATATTACCTATAGTACATGGTCACCATCAGTCCTTTCTCTGAAATTTCCACAGTAATCTGTTGGTTGGATGAAACTTATCCTTTAGTAGATGGTTCCGGAAGAGCTCGTGGGTTTAAGTTGTTTTTTAAAAGACTTAGTACTTAGGTGACAGGTAGATATAAAATCCTTGGTTCATAATCTTTGAGTTTCTTGAAAATGCCACTCCATTATTACCTTTTTTTATGTTGCTTTTCTTTAAGATTTATTTATTTTAGAGAGAGAGCATTAACAGGGGAAGGGGCAGAGGATACAGGGAGAGAAGCATTTTCCCCGCTAAGCACAGAGCCCAATGCGGGACTTGGCCCCAGGACCCCGAGATCATGACCTGAGCCGAAATCAGGAGTCGGACACTTAACCAACTGAGCCACCCAGGCGTCCCTTATACTGCTTTTGAGAAATCTATTCCAGTCTAGTTCGCTGGCCTTGGAAGTTTGGTCCTGTGTGTGCGCCTTGAGGATTTTTCCTTTATTTTCAAAATCTAAGAGTTTTACTAAGATATTTCTCAGAATTGATTTCACTGAGGGTCACTTTTCTCAGGTACTTGGTGGGCCCTTTTAATGTGTAGATTTAGGTCTTCCTTTATTTCCAGGAAGTTTTCTAGTATAAAAGTTTTAAATATTAGGTTTGTCCTGTTGGAGTGTTTTCTTCGTAAGGAGCTCCAGTGATATGTAGTTAGATGGTCTTCCCTTCTATTTCAACCCCTTTCTCTCTGACCATTTCCCCTACTTTATCTCACTTGCGTTCCCTGGGATATTTAAAAATAATAATTGAGTAAAACCTAATTTTATTTAAATTTATTTATTTTTTATTTTATAATTCAGTCTCTTATATAATTTTGCCTTTTTCTTCTATTTCTATCAGGGCTTAATCACTCCTGGTTTTTTAGTTTTTGGCTCATTTCTGTTTTTAGTGTTTGATATCTGTCTCAGGCTCTATTTTGAATGCGTGTTCGACAATATTTAAAGTTCATTTACCTATTTTTTTTTTTAGTACTCTGTACAGCCAATGTGGGGCTCGAACTCACAACCCTGAGAGCAAGAGTCACACTGTCTTCTGACTGAGCCCAAGCCAGGTTCCCAATTTGACAATATTTAATTCAGAGTGGAGGCTTCTGTTTTCTTGTGCTTCATACCTGGTTTTGGGGGGGGATCTTTTATTTTCAATCACTAAAGTCTCTAGAGTTTCATTTTCTGTTTTCATCTTATGATAGTTTACGTAGATGGAGATAGCTCACACCTTTGTATTTTGTGGATTGAGTGGCTTACAGATTCTCAGTTCAAAATCACCCTCTTTTTGGGAGATAGTGGGGGAGGGGCTCTGTGTCCTTCAGTGTTTGAGTTTTCTCTTTGTCTTAGAAGATTGTAAGTTTCCCTGTGTTGCTTCTTCCCCCTTTACCGTAGTATTCCGGCAGGCTCCTTTCTTTTTCTTCTTTCTGCCAATTTCTCCTCAGAAGTGTTGCCTTTCCAAGATTGCCTCCTGTCCCGTGTACACTAGTAAGTCCCTTCCTTGTAGTCCACTCTGGTCTACCAGGACTTTGTTTATTTGATTGTTTTTCCAGTATTTAGACACTTCTAGCAGTCTGTCTTAGGGTTATTAGAGTTCAGTCTTAAGCCTTTGGTTTTCTTCTTGCCTCTGCTCTACTTGCCCCACGACCCTGCCTTGCCCTCTGCAAAGGGTTAGAGAGAGAGCTTGGGAAATGTCTTTGCTGGGAATTGAAGTTTGGTGTGTTTTATTTCTTCTAGTTATTTGAAGTCGTGGAATTTGTGTGGTGTTATTCTTATTATTGATTTATATAGTTTGGGAGGATGGTTGAGAGATCTCAGCATACAGAGTCACCATTACCTCGGCGTCCCGGAAGTGATTACTTTTTGTTGCTGGCGTCCTGACTCTAGAATGCATGCTGCATTAAAACAAGAACCATCTTTGTTTATTTTCTCGCTCTATCTCCTTTGCTAGTACATAGAAGATGCTTGGTAAATAATTGTTGAATGTTTCTTCTTCAAAATTTGCGTGTGTGTCTTTTGCCCATTTTTCTCTTGAATTACTAATTCTTTTGATGATTTATATGTCCTGTTACATATGAAGGTTGATGATCTAATAGGGCACTATATCTTGCTTGTAACGGCTTAACATGTGAATCAGATGTCAAAGACAATTTTTCTGTAACTTTTATTTAGATTAAAAATGCAGGATTTAAACTTACAGAAAATGAGCCTGATCTGGTCCCATTGATGATGGTAATGTGTAAACTTTTTTTAATCACTCTAGTGTTGAGGCTCCATATCTAACAAACACAGAGCATGACCTTCTACCCACTAAGATTTTATACTTGCAATTATTGCCCTTAGCACTCTAAAGGGAGTTAGCTTCTGGCCTCCATTGCTTTATCAGGACTGAACCAGGTCTCTGGATGCCTCTGGCACATGCTTACATGTCAGTGAAGGAGAAGAGGAAACTAGTAGCACACAAGTGGTTAGAAGCAGAAGAATGTGTTAGGAGGGAGAAGGAGAGGCTTGGAAAATGTGGACATAAGGCCGACTACTAGGAAGTTCCCACCTGCCAGGGCTCCCGTTGCCTTGTGTTGGCCTGTGTGCACCAGGTTGGCCAGTCTTGCTCTAGGATTATATTCTGTGCCTCAGAATAGACCAGCACTGTCAGCACTGTATTGGATCCCTTTTGTTATCTGACTCCTAAAATTCCTCCAATCAGAGGAATGGCTGAGAGTATGACACTCTGTCTAGAGAGAACAAAGCGATTTTAATAGCTGAGGAAATTTGGTGTTTTGCATGCTTCCATTGAAAATGTTTGCATGTTTCATTGATTGGCAAGGAGAACAAGGAAGCCTTTCATTTTAAGGAAGGCTTCAGAGGGCATACTGGCTGGTGCCTGGTGAAATGGGTATTTTCTAGTGAATGCCATTTGGTCTATTTTTGTAGTTGGAAACATGCTACTCTTAAGCTTATTGTTGAAGCAGGCAAGAGAGCATGCTGTGCAATCATGAGTGGAATTTTTACATTTGATCCCGGGGGCTGTTTTCTCCCTCCTAGTTTGGAGCTTCCATGAATGTGGCTTCTGAATTTATAAGCATTTTATTGGTTTCAGATCCTGTTTTCCGTTTATTTATCTTCACTTTGTGGATTATTCAGAGGGAAGAGATTAGAAACGTACCTGGGAAACATCCAACACTAAATGCCTTAATATTAGATTGGGATTTCTTAAATTCCTCATTTATTACTCATTAGAGCTGCTGTATTCCTTTCTAGTATTTTCCCAGGTTCTTGCGACTCCTCCATGGCATTCTTGCTGAAGCCTTACTCTTAGTTATTTCTCTCAAAGCAAGTGAACATTTCTTTATGTTCAGAATCCTAGATCAGGGTTACTTTCTTAGATGTATTCAAGCCAATTTCCCAATTGTTTTTCTCAGAAGTTTACAATTTTTACAGGTGTTGTAAGAAAAATAAATTTTGGAAAAAAGTACCCATAATCCTAACAACAGCAGTTCTTTCCTATTTGTACAGTAATTTACAGTGTTTGACCCCATGAATACCAGTGTTTGCCCGTTTGCACTGTGTGCTTCATATTTGGGGTTTTTTCTCATTTAACAACCAGATTGTCTTTCAAAAATTAAAAAAAAAAAAATGTGTTCCGCCATCCTTTAGACTTGATAGAATTTTTTATGGGATTTACATTTAAACCGTGTATTAACACTTGAAACATAATATTTTCTGAGGCTGATTCATATTGTATTACTACCACCAAAATGTTGTCGTTGTCCCATATAATTGACATAGGTGAATGTAATTTGTGTCAATCATTTAATTCCTCTCAGAGGTAAAAATGAGCTTTCCAGAAAGGATATATAACTTTCAACTGATTGCTTATCTGAATACCTTGTTTAAAGTGTCATAAAGTGTTTAAAGTTTCTGCTCTTTTTCTCAATTTGAATTTTTAACCGAAATTAAAACTCTGGGTCATTAGATCATTTCATTTTTTTAGAATTACTTATTATTATATTTGTCATGTTTAGAAACATTTTTAGAACAATAATAACTTCTAATTAAGTATGCTAGACTTGATTCTGTTTTTTTAAAAAAATACTTTTGTCATGAACTTTGACTTGCCTTTTGTCATTTTTTTTCTTTTCTTTCCATGATTTGCAGTATGTTGGAACTGTCAGCTGTATAATTCTTTTATATGTATGCTTATTGTAGATCTTGACTGTAGTTTTTAGCCATTGAGCTACTTCCCCTGCTACAAGCACTCATTTGGATGGTGAGGCAAAACAAAGAATAGTAATTAACATATTCAGAGGGTCCTAATACCTCGTGTTAGCTGTTGTCTTCTCACGGGTCTTTCTCCAGAATTGCCAGTAAGGAGGAAAAAGTATTCTCTTTTTCTCTGCCTGCTTTCAGCTGAGATTGCTACCAGTTAGTTGTGCATTAGGGAGAAAAGAGGCGGGCCGAAATTGAATTGAGATGTAGCTAATCCACAAAATGGATCTTTAATCCTCTTTGGTATTTGAAATGCCCAGAGTGTTGCCTGGCAGGAAGTAAGCATCAGGAAGTTTCTGTTGGGTTGGATAGATGGATTCATGAACAAGCCTGTCTCGAAAACCACATGGATTTCTCAGAGGGCAGAATTCTAAAAATCTCCATAAAATGTGTTAACTTGAGATTCAGAAGCTCATCCTCCTGCATGTCAAACTGCATTAACTAACCACGATATTAGTAATAACAAAAGTTGTATCGTTTTCTAAGTCGTGAACTGACGTGTGTATATATCACACTTTTGTTTCTAAAGGAAGTAGAGATTCGGAACAAAGACCTGGAGGGACAGCTGTCTGACTTAGAGCAACGTCTGGAGAAAAGTCAGAATGAACAAGAAGCTTTTCGCAATAACCTGAAGACACTCTTAGAAATTCTTGATGGAAAAATATTTGAACTAACAGAATTACGAGACAACTTGGCCAAGCTACTAGAATGCAGCTAAGGAAAGTTAAATTTCAGTGCCAGTTGATTAAAAAATACACTGTCTCTCTTCATAGGACTGTTTGGGCTCTGCATCAAGATCGCACATAAAATTTGAATATCACTCCTCCTCCAGGAGGATGATCTTTTGAAAATTGGAATTGTATATTTCAGTGTAAATTTTAGAATTCAGCTCGTAGCTAGTTGGGGAAAAAAGAGATGAAAAACTTGAACTACAAATTACCTCCATGTATATTATTGGCCATAGTTAACTAGAAAGTTATAAATACACTTAATGCAATCTTTTTTTTTTCTGATATTAGCCAATGGGAGAATTAACAATGTCTGGGTCACATCCCTTTTTTGTGTTCAACACAGTGAAGGTTATCTGCTTTTTAAATTAATTTATTTATGATATCTAAAGCTGTGTTTTGTGCAAAAATTTAGTGATGAAAGCCCTGTCTTCTGTTGTAATCTGAATAATTTCTCAGGATATTTTTGCACTGCTGAGAAGCAGCGCCATTACCGATTAATTCTTGCCAAGAGTGAGAGAGAGCTGCATCTCCAATTGAAACATACTCACTAGACCTGGGTGTATAGAGTTCTTCCCTTTTTTTATACCGGAAGACATTTCACTCGGTGACCACTCTGGTACACTCTGGTGTTCTTGAATCTTGTCTGCTGTATAGTTTACTTTTCCATATTGATTCCATGTATTTATGAGAAGATATCGTCTCCCATTTTATTACACATTTTAAAGCCAACTAACGAAGGCAGCTGAGTCCCTCAGAAATTTTTCTTTTTAAATTTCTAATAAATTTGACACACAGTACTGAAATACAGCAGCCCGTCCTCGACGGTCTGGCCTAGCAATGTTAAGTATATTTACAGAATATGCAGTTACATTTATTTATATATTTTGCAAGAAATCTTTTCTGAATGATCAATGCATTTCAATTTACAACTAATAATGGTTATTGGGGAACTGTTTATTATAGATCATTTTAAGGTGTATAGCAATTTTAAAGGGGATCCATTTCCATCAAACAGCCAATCAGAGGACTATTGGGATTGGAGCCGTGTACTCTGTCTGGGTCTTTACATCAACCACATCTCTAGTCAAACCTCACAAGGCAATATCCTGAACTGTTAACTAGGTGTTTCAAACAGGAATTCAATTCAATAGGCTCTTCTCAATGAACAAGTTTTAATGTTGTTTTGATGTAATTTTAAAAGACTTTTAGCAAACATGCATTTCTTTATATATTTCTTTTAAGAAGCTATTTTAAAAGTAAGCCAAGTGCTGTCTAGTCTGCTTATGGAGTTAGGGATTGCATCAGAGTCCATATATTCTCGCTGTACAATGCCTGTGATGTTGAGGAGGGTTCTTTTTTAAAGTGTATGCTTGAGCACCTGACTCTGTGGAGTCTGCAAATGCACTGACTTTGTTTGTACCCCAAAACGATGGAATTGTTAAGTACAAAATTAAGCTAATGAATCAATTTGTAACCATTTTTTCACTCACAAACAGCAACTCAACACTAGACAATTTTGTTTTATATATGTGTGTGTATGTATGTAAATACATACATCTTAATTTATATTAGAGTGAAAAATAAATGGTTTGTTTCTAAAGTTAGTTTCTAAAGTGAGTTTTCAGGTGTCTCTGAAAAGTTTCTATCAGACACTTAATCATCTATGTGTATTCTATGTGCTATGACATCATGTAAGTTACCTCCATCTATTTTAGGATCTTTTCCTCACCTATTTATTATAGGGAGGGTAACTTAGGTACACAAGCTCAGAGCTGAGATATTTCTCTGATAATTCAGGTAATAAAATTTATTTGATTGATGGAATTTTGAAGTAGATGTGATTTTATCCCTCAGTTTCTGAGTAACAAAGAACACCAGATTTTAATTTAAATAGGGGATTTAACACTAGGGATCAGGGAATTTAGTTACGAAGAGTTAAAAATTAAAAAAACAACAACAGTGTAAGCTGTTGAAATGGTAAGTGAATTATTTTAATGATGTAATAAGATATTTTTAAATTTTGACATCGTTGTCATTTAATGGGAAAATAACTCACCAAAATGTCTCCACTTGAATTGTATTGATAGGTGAGACGTGTGTAATTCAATATATACATATACCCGTACGTATATACAGAAAATTATTTTTAATATTTTCCTACTGATAAATTTAAAATTGGAAATTTTGTGAGTTTTTTCCTCATCCAGTAGGGCCTAATTTTTTTCTTTTTTTAGTGATTTAACAATTTGAGGGCTGCACCTTTAAATTCCCAGAGTGTCATTAGACGTGTACAGTATATGGGATAAGGGTGGACACAAGTGCACATATAAATAAAATCTTAAGACTATTTTAAATATTCATTTATAGTAGAGTATCTAGAAATCATCATCTACAAGTCATAATTAGGTTGTGTGTCTACTGTAGTTTTCTCCACTTCTGTATTATATAAATAAAAGTTTGCCTATTAAAATCTGATTTTTCCCAGAGACAAGTATTATATAATGTATCTATATTTACATCCAACTGTGGTAATATATTTATCAGAAAATGATGCTGGGGACTGTAGCCTGAACATGTGGACTTGAAGTGACACAGACAAGGAGAGCAGAGACCGACCCCATTGTGTATAAGATATTCTCTGATAATTATGAATTCTTGTACAAAAAACAACTGAAAAAAAAAAGGAAAAACAAAAATACAGTTTTTATTTTGAAATACATTTGTTGTTCTCTGGAGAATGTACTTTATCTTTTTTTCCTTCGGTCTTTTCCAGATACTTTTGAAAAAGCATTTAAGTGATGGCAGCATTGCTTAACTTTTACAGGTGCTACTGGATTTCGCATTAGTGTGTCCTGTTGTGAAATCCTGACTTTGACATAAAAGGTTTTATACGTATTTCCCTGCCTGGAAAATTAGTTTTTGTTTCTCCTCTCTCTCCTTCTCTCCGCCTTTCTCTCTCTCTCTCTCTCTCTTTTTCCTCCCTTTCTTTCTGCAGATTAAAAACCGTGCATGAAGTTGCATCCCACTTTGTCCCTCTAGAAGAACTTCAGCACCGTCAGAATGTAAAGTTTTGCTGTCATTGAACTGCTGGAAAGCAGTTAAAGGAAAAGCTTGCAGGGTTTTTTCAAGTGGAAATAAAAGGGACGCTCAAAATTAAAACCACCACCTTTGAAAACTCATTTTCTTGCCCCGTTCAAGTGGACGGTCTTGTGTCACTCGTGCCCTTCCGTGGCTTCGTTTCACTGCGGAGTGTGCAGCTCAGCTACTCTCCTCCTGCAGACCTGATCTGTCTGTTCTGGAATATGAGGCAGGCTGCAGGGAAAATTGGTTGGGTGACAGTGTTGTGTTGACTTTTTTAAGAAATCCTGTTGTTTATTTGGTATCACATGATTTTACCATTCCTGATAGTCTGTGCTTGAAGTCATGAAATAGTCTTCATTGCATTTTTGTCTTCTGTACATTTGGCATTCATGAGGCAAATTAATTTATGGATAATCTAAAGAAAACTTTCAGGTAAGAAGTTAATGACACATTTAAAAAATTTTTTTCGAGTAGGATACTGTGCTCTAATGAGAAGATAATTTTCATGTGAGAGAATATTTTTTAAATAACTAGAAAAGGATCATGTTGGAAAGGAAACAGCTGAATCGTTCACCTGATTTTTAATTGAGAAAGTGCATTTTTTTCCAATGTAAGACTGGACCTTAAATTTTGATGACAGGTTTTTTTTTAATGGGAAACTGATATATATCAACATCACAGAAACACAAGCATCATTAATGAATTAAAGAAATGGTTTTTGGTTAGTAAAATAGCTAACAATTTTATCCAAGGAAAAAAACTCAAAAACTCAGCACCATACTGCCTACTGATTTCTGCTTAGTACACTAGATAGAAAAGAAACACTTTATTTTTACCCAAAACAGGTGACCCAGGAAGAGAAATTGCATCTGGACTAGAATAGGGAAGAGGCCACAAGGTCCCAGTAGATTTCCAGTCAATTCTCTGACCTCCTTAAGGTCCCTCCTGTCCTTTGCATGAAAGGACACATGCCGGTGATGGCAAGAGCCAATCTGGAGGAGAAGAGGGTATTTTTTTGTGGAAGCAGGGCCAGCAGAGAGTGGGTACACGCTCATGTCAGTCTTTATCGAAGGCACTTCAGGCTAGCCAAAGACACCTGTTGCTATCCACTAAACAAGTTGGGATTGCCTTAGTGAATTTTAAAGGTTTTCAGGAGATCTTGTCATTTTGTCTTCTCAGGATTTATGACCTAATATAAGACACCTGACATTTGGAACTCACCATTCTGTGGAATTCTGACCTATTTTTGCCAGTTACTTTCACATCAGATCTACCCAGGGATAGAAATGTTATTCTGCTTTCTCCTAATAACACCAAACTAAGATGATAATGAGTGCCTAACAGATACAAAACTCAGCCCATTTCTGTACCACAGGAAAACATCTTTTGTGGGTATTTTTTTCTATCAACATTCATGGTTTTGTCTTGTTAGCTGTGTTTTATTAACTGTGTTATTATATAGGCATCTCTAGAAGTCCTAGCTGTATGACTCACATATAGGACTTGATTGTTACACCTTAAATGGAATGTTCGTTTCATGAAACATGGCCAGAGAGCAGACCCATTTGGAGGAAATGCTTTCTCAACAACTTCAGTATGAAATGGAACAGAAAGGAGTGTTTGTTGAATCTGCGCTATGTGACAGGCAGTGTACTAACTGACATTTCATTTCTATGTATAGGGGCCCTTGCAGGGGTGTTCCTTTGGAAGGGGGCTGAGGGAAAGGAATGGAAGAGGTCAAATGGTTGCACCTGCTCTGTTGCCACAGCATCAGTCTGGTCATCCAGTACACCAGTCAAAAGGTGGAGATCTTGCTCATGTATCTGGTACAGTTTTTCCCTCCAGCTTGACTGCCTTGCTTCTAGAATTATCTCTGTTAGGGTACTTCTTAACTATTTTATATTTACTCTTCTTGAACTTCTTCCTTCAGCCTCCTTTCGTGTTTATGATGCTTGTTATCGTTCAGTTGCAAATCGTACTTTGCAGGTCATATTTATGCAATGTATTTTAGTCCCAATTTTTTTTGAACTCACAAACTTCAGATAATCCAAGGACAGTGGGTTTCTTACACAGAGTTCCAGTCAATAACATTTAAGTAGGAAATTATTTATAAAGGCCTTGGGAAGACCATTCATCTCTTAAAT